AACAGCTCTGAGACCAGCTGTGTCAGCTTGGTTAGGGAGTCTGCTAGATGACGGGGTGGTCAGTAGACTAGCAGAATCCCCAAGCTATCCCTGGTCTTCAGGCTCAGGTACATGCACTTGAAGTGGGCTTTTTTCTGGACAGGTATCCTGGTCAAGAGATTATTCTTATGAACTAGAGCCACTCTGCTCCCCCCCCCACTTCCCCTCACTTGCTCACTGACAGAGTACCCAGCTGGGAGGGCCTGCACCCAGGTAACTGTGCTATCCTCTCCCAGCCAGGTCTCTGTAAAGCATGCCAGGTCAGCGTCCTCATCTAAGAGGAGATCATGGATGACATGAGTCTTATTCTTAACCGACCTGGCATTGCAGAGGAGCAAAGTGAGGTTCTGTGGAATGGAAGGTCTGCTCTCCAAACCAGCCTGGGAAAAAGAGGGAACTTAAGGCGGGATAGCTTTCAAACAGCGATCCCGTCTTCTTTTGTAGCATTCATTCACTCTGTTCCGATCATACCTCCAGTTCCCCAACACAACTCCAATAGCCGCCCCTGCCTCCTTCCCGGCCTCAGGTGAAACAGGCTAATGTTCTGGCGGTGATATAATCTGTGCCGCCACTGAGGAGGTGAAGTCAGAGCTGGACAAAGAACTCTTCGTCACAGGCATGGGACTCCAGATGATAATGGAGAGGGCTAAATGGGAAATTAAATATCCCCTAATCCAAGTCCTGCTAAATTCTAATATTCCCACCCTCTGTTGCCAACACACCACTACAATCCTATTATAGGATTTGGGCTCCTGGGCCTCCGCCTGGCCTTCTTACGGCCCCTGACACTGCCGCTACCGCTGCGCTGCTGGAGGTGATGGAGCTGGGAGGGCTAAATAGTCCTGCCCAGGACCTCTCAGCTGCTACCGTCGCTGCTGCTGCGCCGCCACGCCACCATGCTTCCGAAGGAGGTGGTGAGTTGGGTGGGCTTCTAGGCCTTTGCCCAGCCTTCCAGCAGCCCCCGGCACTGCCGTTGCCACCGCACTGCTGAAGGAGATGGAGCTGGGCGGGCTAAACACTTCTGCCCAGGGCCTCTCAGCTGCTACCACCACTGCCGCTGCACCGCCTCTCCACCGAAGGAGGTGGTGAGTTGGGCGGGCTTCTAGGCCTCAAAAGTGAGCATTAAAATAAAATTAAAATCATACAATATTAAAACACATTTCTCATTAAAAGAATAAAATGCAGTTAAAAAGATAAAAGTGCTTAAAAACAATACAATTTCATTCACAGTCAATCCTTGCAAATAATCCATTCCTAGTTCCTCCTGCTCCGCTTCCTCAGACTAGACTGCAGAGGATGCTGTCCTGCAACTTGCACAGTCCTTGCAGCATAGCCCATGATGAAGTGTAGAGCTGAAGTCCATTTTTTTTAATAATAAGAAAAGACAGATATTGGGCTGCAGTTGATAAGAGCTGCACAGTCCAATATTTGGATAATATTGAATTGCAGCTGTACACTAATTTATTAATCTCTGTAACAAAATGGAGGGAGGGAGAGTATTATAAAACTCTGGTGCCACAAAGAGCGATGCTTCAGACTTGGACTTCTAGAAGACCCAGACAGTCTGGATAATGGTCAGGGATTCTTGGTGCTAGGGTCATAAATATCTGCAGGGGCAAAAGGTGAGAGCTGTTAATGTGCTGACCTGATGCAATTCTTTCTTTTTAAGGAGGATCCATGCTTTGTATAAACACACAATGCTGGCAAACTGTCACTTTAGTAAAGGCAGGTTTGACTGCACATAGGGTCTTTGCATACTGCTAGAAATAGTGCAAATTGAGTCACTTTAAGGGTTAGGGTTAGGGTTAGGGTATCATGGGAACTGTATTTTATTGTGGCACCAGAGCTCTCTGACAGAGAAGACTCAATGTCTCAGGAAAAAAAAATAATTCCCATGATTCCCTAACCCTAACCCTTAAAGTGGACTCAATTTGCACTATTTCTGGCAGTCTGCAAAGACCCATAGTAAGGTTTTCTTGGGCTTCAGAGTTCTTGTAGAAAGGTTTGTTTTGGAGGAATTGGCAAAAATAATAATAGGGAGGATTACAGAAGGTAAATGAAAATTGTCGTTGTAAAGCAGCAGAAGACACCACCAGATGCAAGAACAAAGGCTTCATTTAGCTGTTTTCTAAACCTGGGGGCTGAGGAGCTGGAGAAGCAGCTGGGCTCTCCTTCATGAATAGCCAACCTATCCCAGTTGACTCAGGCAAACAAAGAAGGCTGATGGATGCAAGGTGGTGAGACTGAGCTTCTGCATCCTGCCTGAATTCTCAAGTATAGATTGTTTTTAAAAGATGCCAAGACCACCACACTACCCAGTTGACACAGTTGCTCCTGTTCTTTGTCAGCAGACTCACAAAACTGATCATTAGATGTGTTGCTTCAGAGTGCCTTTGGCATCAAGTAGTGACACTGACAGCATTACTGGATTGTTTAAAGGTAACTGCCAAATTTAATCAAAAAGGGGGGCACATTTTTATAACTGCCTCTCTGGCCTCCTTTTGGTCTGCTGTTTTTTCTTCTCCCTTAGTATCCCAAGTACACTTTGTCAGCTTAATAAGGATACTGACATTTAACAAAGGTATAGAGCAACAAAATGGCTTGATCAGGATCAAACTGTATGTCAGTAACTGAGTTGGGAATTGAATCTAGTTCCCTTGACTCCCATTGGGCACCATACCTACCCAAACATACTACATAATTTGCCAGAATCAATGAAGGTGAGATAGTTACCTTCTGTAGATTTATTTTGCAGGTCAAAATGTCTACAGCATTCTTCTTCTGCCTGGTGGCCTCGTAGACTGCAGCTCTCTTCAGCTCCAACTAATGTCCATGGTGAGAGCTTGAAATACAAAACATCTGGTCAGTATCAGTCTTGGGAAGAGTTAACTCCAAAGGCATTCTTGATCTGGAGAAGCATAATGTAAACAGGTAATTACAGCTTTTACTATGAAACACTTGTTTAGTTGGGGCTTAGTGAAGCTCTTATAATGCCTAGTTGGTCAACTGCATGTTTCCCCCACAATCTGCACTTAGCCCTCCTCCTCAGTGAATTGTAAGTGGGGTTGAAGCACCATTGGCCCTACAGATTTTCCCATCACCATTGGCCAAGCTGGTAAGCGTTGGTGGGGACCAGAGTGCAATAGCACCTGGAGGGGCACAGTTTCCCTAGCCCTTTTGTAAAGAAACATACACATCTTTGGGCCTTTACAAACTGACAAAATAATGCAGCTTGAGGCCACTTTAACTATCATAACTCAGTGCTAAGGAATCATGGGAACTGTAGTTTATTATGGCACCAGAGCTCTCTGACAGAGAAGGCTCAATGTTCCAGAAAAAAATACAGTTCCCATGATTCCCTAGCACTGAGCCAGGACAGTTAAAGTGGCCTCAAGCTGCATTATTTCTGGCAGTCTGTAAAGGCCCTTTGTGTCCACCTCTTTCCTCTCCAAGAGGAAACTGCCAATAGCTGGAGGACTGTGCATGAGATGTCCAAATAGATAATATTTAGATGTTGCGTAATGACAAATCTCACAATGATTTTCTTCAGCTGAAAATTCCAGTACTGAACCAAGAAAAGACCTACAACATCTGTTCTTCAAAGACAAAGTACACAATGCTGGCTTGAATGTCTATCTGATCCTTTTCATTCCACCACCACCAGCCCAGTCAAAAGATATCGGGTCTTATTTTGTTGCTGAGTTGTACATGAAATTACCATGACTACAAATGAAGTCTGCTGCATGTGCAATGACCCTAATTAGGATTCAAAAGTGAACCAATTTTCATATGCAGCTGCTAGCACAAATTAGACCATAATAACATAGCTAGTAGATTTAGTTTGATACATGCAGGGCTGCCTTATTGTATGAAGTCATTCAGTTCTATATAAATCTTTTCTTTTGGGGGGGTGGGATACAAACAAGGGATTCCCAACTGAAAACTATTTGGAAAATTTTATTTTTTAAAAAAAATGTCAAAAATACTTCATTTCTGTTGAAAGTGATGCTAAAAGCTGTGGAAAAGGCCACTACTCCAGTGTGAGGTGTACCTTAACCTATTTTCTTCTTCCATGATGCACAAAACAGCCTTTTCCCTGGCTTATTGCCTCTTGAAGCTGGAAAGCAAGAATGTACTTGGTGGTCTTGGAAGCACTATAGCTGCTTTCTAACTGCTTTCAGAAACTGAGATAAGGGTCAAGGTGGCTGTTCAGTAAGAAGACTCCATCAGTTCTGATCTATCTTGGGGGATCTTCATAGTATTTCCTCTTTATATGTTAAAAGTGGAGAGCCAGTGTGGCATAGTGGTTTGAGTATTAGACTATGACTCTGGAGGCCAGGGTTTGAATCCTGGCTCAGCCATGGAAAACCACTGGGTGAGCTTGGACAAGTCACACTCTCTCAGCCTCAGAGGATGACCATGGAAAACTGTTCTGAAGAAACATGCCAAGAAAACCCCATGATACATTCACCTTAGGGTCGCCATAAGTTGGCAACAGCTTGAAGGCTCATAACAACAAATGTTAAAAGTACACATGAAGGAGTCAGAGGACAAGCTATCTAATTTTACAATTGCTCACTAGCCACATTTGGTAACTGTAAGAAAGTACCCTTCAGATGTACACTAAGGATTTCTTCATTTCTAAGGATTTCTACATGGAGTCCTAGTAGACCACAAGTTGAACATGAGTCAACAGTGTAATGCAGGAGCAAAAAAGGCCAATGCAATTTTAGGCTGCATCAATAGAAGTATAGTATCTAGATCAAGGGAAGTAATAGTGCCATTGTATTCTGCTTTGGTCAGGCCCCACCTAGAATACTGTGTCCAGTTCTGGGCACCACAATTCAAAAAAGATGTTGAAAAACTGCAGCGTGTCCAGAGGAGAGTGACTAAAATGGTCCATCCAGTCCAACCCCCCTGCCATGCAGTAACTCAAAATCAAAGCATCCCCGACAGATGGCAATCCAGCCTCTGTTTAAAGACGTCCAAAGAAGGAGATTCCACCACACTCTGAGGAGTGTGTTCCACTGTCAAACAGCTCTCACTGTCAGGAAGTGCCTCCTAATGTTGAGGTGGAATCTCTTTTCTTACAGCTTGCATCCATTGTTCTGGGTTTTGTTCTCTGGAGCAGCAGAAAACAAGCTAGCACCCTCCTCAATATGATATCCCTTGAAATATTTAAACAGGCTATCATATCACCTCTTAACCATCTCTTCTTCAGGATAAACATACACAGGTCCCTGGTCACTTCTGTCCAGGATGAAGAGGAGCCATTGCTGAATACCCTTTGGGTTCGGTCAGTCAACCAGTTACTAATCCAGCTAACAGTTGTATTGCCTAGACCACATTCTATTATCTTGTTTGTAAGAATATCGCAGGGGAACTTGTCAAAAGCCTCACTGAAATAATAATAATAATAATAATAATAATAATAATAATAATAATAATAATAATAATAATAATAATAATAATAATAATAATAATAATAATAATAATAATTTTTTATTTCTATACCACCCTATGGCAAACCAATCTGGGTGGTTTACAACAAATGAAAGAACAGTAAAGATAAAACAGTATATTCCCTCCCCCCCTTAAAACATTATTAAAT